GTGACTGGTTTACATATGGCAGTGGAGCCTGTGACCTTCAACATCATCGCTACTCCCAATCCCGTGATCTAATTGTCCTATCAGTGGATGGCTTCACACCAAAGCCCCTGTGACCAACTCTCAAATAAAAATACAAGCAGCAGGCACCCACCAAAGGACACACAGATAAAACCACCACAGTTCAGGTTCTCTACTTTTTCCTAGGATTTCGGAAGTTGCTGTGTAAAATCTTTACCTCTACTGAGGTTTATCATAGTAGACTGAAAAGAATAAAATATTCTCCCTTTTTCTTGCCTAATGGCCTGATTTTTGTGTGCAATAAATGCAAAACCAAAGCAGAGCAAGTGTGTCCTGTAGGGACCCCAAACTCCACACGTGCTGTGGGAACACTGTGTCTCCTGCCCCTGTGCTCTCCCCGTATCTAACCCAGACATGCCACCTGCTCTGTTCCAGTGTTTCCTTATATTAACTAATGTCATCACCAGCCACTACATACTGGACATTTGAGGGGTGCCCTAGACTTTCCTCTCCCCCAAACATCTCTTGAATCAATCAATTTATTCCTCTTTTTCCATTCCTCCTGCTGCCTTGGTTGAGACTGGCATCATTTCTTTCCCAGAGCATTACAATAGCTTCCTTCTAGTCTTTCTCTCGCCTAATTCATCTTCATGTGCTTCTGGAATTACATTTTACAGAAATAAATGTGATCACGTCTCTTCCTTTGTTAAAATATTTGCTATTGTTCCCATTGCCTCTAAGAATCAGGCCAAAATTCCAGATGGCTTGGCTCCTCTGTTCTCCCCCAGTGTCATCTGTTGCTGTGCCTTCCAGATAGTCCGTGCACATGGTCACTTGCTGTTCCCAGAAAGTTCCAGGCGCCGGGAGACACTTTGCCTTTGTCCATGCTGTTTTCTTGACCTAGAATGCCTGCCTTATTTCTTTTAGGACTCAACTCAAGATTCAGTTACACTCAACTCACACCACTTTTGTCAAACTTCCTAACCAGGCCTTTGCATCCTTCCTCCTCTCTATGACTTACATTGCCTTCCTCCAAATTTCCAAAGCCTTGGAATATGCTTCTATTATAGCACTTAGCATGCCATTTAATAATTATTTGATTACAAATGTGCCCCTTGGATAGATTACAAATTCCTTGTGGAAAAGTTGTCTGCAATTCATTCATTTTGACATAAGATTTTAGATATTGGTTGGCTGAATGGATAATCCATTAATGGATAAAAATTAGTAAATGTATATATTCAAGAGTATTTTAATAGGATGATAACTTTGCTTTTTTTTTTTTTGAGACAGAGTCTCAAGCTGTCCCCATGGGTAGAGTGCCATGGCTTCACTGCTCACAGCAACCTCCAACTCCTGGGCTCAAGTGAGTCTCCTGTCTCAGCATCCCAAGTAGCTGGGACCACAGGCGCCCACCACAATGCCTGGCTATTTTTTGATTGCAGCCATTATTGTTGTCTGGCGGGCCGGGCTGGATTCGAACCCGCCACCTTAGGTGTATGTGGCTGGCACCTTAGCCAGTTGAGCCACAGGCGCTGAGCCATTTGCTTTTAATTGTTATATTAAATGATAAAGAATAGAGCTAAATTAAAACCAAAGACATTCAGTTAATTCTCATACTAGACCCCTATTTAAATGAGGGCTATGAGGTATTAAGCAAAAATGTGTTTCAATGCAAATCATTACAAAAAGAAATTTTATTTTTTATTTATTTATTTATTTATTTTTTTGAGACAGGAGCCTCAAGCTGTCCCCCTGGGTAGAGTGTCGTGGCATTACAGCTCACAGCAACCTCCAACTCCTGGGCTCAAGCGAGTCTCCTGCCTCCGCCTCCCAAGTAGCTGGGACCACAGGTGCCCACCACAACGCCCGGTTATTTTTTGGTTGCAGCCGTCGTTGTTTTGGCGGGTCCGGGCTGGGGATTTGAACCCGCCACCTTAGGTGTACGTGGCTGGTGCCTTAGCCCGTTGAGCTATAGGCGCCGAGCCAAATTTTATTATTTTTAGATAGAATCAATAAAGAAAATTGCAGTTGTAAAAATAAGTCAGACTTGTCAAAATAAACTTGTTTTTAGTGTAGCTTTAAATAAGCTATCTTGACAACATGTCATCAAACAGAAGTTTTTCCTGCTCAAAAGAAAATCAGAATAAATATTTAATTTGTCATTTCCCATGATGTTTTCTATGTCCTATCCTCCACTGAATAACCAAAATGGAGGGGTTAAAATTTGGTGGATTTGACACTTCTGTTGTCTATGAGGTAGGTAAATGGGATGAATTTTGAAAAATTCATCATTCTTAACTGTGTTTTACCTGTCCTAGGAACTATTTATTTTAGAAGTAGCCTTGAAAAGAGGGCAGTCTTGAAGATTGCGGTAATGTTTTTGTCTATAATTTTTGATAGTTGTAGAAGTTGCACAATGGAACTAATCATAGTGATCTTTCCATAAATTAATTCACTAAAATCAGCTCACAATATGTAGTTTTGTCAAAACTGATGACTTGTTACCTTTTTGTTGATAAGAAAGCAACACGGTCAGCTCTTTTCCTGTCTGAATCTCTGCTGGGCCTGAGCATGTTTAGGTTAGGGGTGGGGGGGGGAGCAATTATTGCTCAAGTGCCATTGAGCCTTGATGCCCTCTGGGGGGGTCCTTTGAATTTCTTTTCAAAGTGGCATTTTTCAATATTAAATCTTCCCAATTATGTAAGTAAATGGCTTTCAAAGTTTTGATCCACATTAGGAAACACATTGGGTAGATATACATGTGGGGTATATATACCATGAACTTAATACTTAGTATGTATATATGTGTATGTATATGTATGTATATATGTAACTCATCCTAGAAAAAATGCTACACGTTTCATTACTGAATATCACTGTGGTCACCTTCAAAGTGACCATCTGGTGACTATAGTGATATTCAGCAATAAGGTATGTAGCACTTTCTAGGATGAGTTCAAGAACTTAATTTTCATACACACACACACACACACACACACACATATATATATACCAATATACCATGGGCTACCACTCAGCTATGAAAAGAATAAAATAACATCCTTCATGAATGGAACTGGAAACCATAATCCTAAGTGAAGTATCTCAGGAACAGAAAAACAAACACCACGTGTGGTCATTGGTGAGTGGGAGCTGAATGATGGGTATACATGGCCACACAGAATGGTCTAAGGGATTTCAGAGCTGTGGAAGGGGGAGGGTAGGATGAGGGGGAAGCACAGTGTACACTATTTGGGTGATGGGTACACTGAAAGCCCCGACTTCATCAAAATACAACTCATCTGTGTAACAAAAACTGCTTGTATCTCCAAAATCTATTAAATAAAAATCAACAAACAAATAAAAAAGACACTCAAAAAGAAACACAGTTTCTATCCAACTTAGAACTCATACACAGGTGAATTGTAAGTTTCACAGATAGTATTTTTAGTATGTGCTTCTCAGGCTGATATTTCTGTTGCCTCTGTTGCCGTTTACTAGCTGTGAAAACTTTGACAGATTACCTAACTTCTTTCAAACTCAGTTTTCTCCTTGGTAAATTGGAGATACCAGCACCTACCTCAGTATGTTTGCTGGGGTTAGATGTAATTTACATGAAGTTCCCAGCGTGGTATCTAGCACAATCCATATTTTTTTCTATGTAAATAGTATTTAAATAATTTATATGTTAGAAGACTTGTCTTCGGTTTACCTTCTGACATTGTTTCCCTACATATTTAAAAATTCATCTTTATAAGGGATCTTTTAGGAGTCAATGACTGGAAGCTTGAACAAGTTAAGGTCTATAAAAGGCTTTACTTTGTAATAATTGAAATCATTGTAATCTCAGCTGTCTAAATGTACTCTTTCTGCACGTATTAGATATTCTTTAAGCCACTTATTGAAGAAACTAATATTATTCATTACCAGAATTGGATCCTTGTTAAGTGCCTCAGGGTACAAGTACCAAAAAAGAAAGCACTAATTGAAGTGTATAAAATGGGGAATAGAAGTAGTCTGGAAAATGGGAAATCGAGATTTTAAAAATAGCATCCTTCAGATGCTGTTCTGCAGTGAATGCAGAATTGGAAGGATAGGTGAATTTCATGAACCAAAAATACAGATTCAATATTTGGAAACTAACAAACACACACAAACACACAAAAGCAAATCCAGGGGGTTGTGAGTGATTTCCTTTGCAAAATCTGATACAAGTTGCAATCTGAGACTCAAAGACCCCAGCAGCCATTTCCCACACTCCCGCCCCCACTTTTGGGTAGAAACTATTTGACTTGCACTAAAAAGGCAACTGCATCCTTCTTTAATTTTCATAATGTACATTAAAACTAAGCATCCAAACCAAAATTTGAAAATTATAGTAAAATATAAAGTATAACTGACTCTTTAAAATAAGTACAGAATTTTCATTGGTTTCATTATTATCTCTGAACTTTGAATTAAACCCATGTAGTATTTTACTATTCATTGTACTTTCACATTTGAAATTTGATCCTTATAACAATCTAGGGAGTATAATAGATCAAACATTTTTATCATCTTGGCTTCAAGATATGGAAACAGCTCCAGAAATTAAATTAAAGAAATTAAATTATTTAGCTAAGATTTATACAGCAAGGAAGTTTTTAAATCCCAAACTGATGCTCTTTCAACTGGGATACCCTTTGAAGACAGAAGCTGGTGGTAAGCTGGTTACATTTTGCCATAACATAGCATTCCACAGAGACATGCACTGTAAAAGTACCATCCATTCTACTCTCTTTAGAAACTGAACAAGAGATTAAACATAGCAGTCATTTTCAGATGTGTGACTTGAACATCGCTTGAAAGGCATTAGAAAAGTTACCTGGATTGTCTTCTATAGTGGGTCCTCTGCAAACACAGTTGACTGATGGGTAGATTTGGCAAAACATTGGGTTAGCTGAGCAACAAAAAAAATCTGATTTTCTCTAAGTCCTTACCTTGTAAGGGGAACCAAGCCAGCAAACTGAGAACTCTCCACCACATTTTGTGCTGTGCTGTGGTACTTTGTCAATTTCCTGTAGATACTGAAATAAATGGAGCTGAGTAGTTTCTTTTGAAGGGAGAGAGGCAGTGGCTTTGTGACCTCACGCGTAACAACCCCCTCATGTCTGGAAGCCCCCCATTAGAGAGCTGCCCCCAAAACACCTCCTGATGGAACATTTCAGGGACCACATATGTCATCTTGATTGTGGAGAAGTGTGAGTGATGTGTTGGTGACAAGAATTGTTCTACCACAAGTGGGTAGTACTGGTAAGTTGACTAGTTGCAAGGCTTTGGGGGAGAGGACAAGTGGGAGACAAACTACAATGTCCCTGTACAGTGATGTCATCCTTATTTTTACTTTTCCAGTTTGTTAGATAATTATAATTAGGCCATTTTTCTCAATTCTTGTGAATAATTTATATTTCTTACTGTGGCAACAATTTCTAATGGTTACCAGGTGACGAATTCACTCATTCACATATTTGCTCATTTTTGAAATCTGTATACCGTAGACTCTCCATAGTTGACACCTACCTACCTTGACCACCTCCCTGTATTGACCTAATTTTCATAGACTGGACATGCACCACATGTACGTATCAGCACAATAGGTCTAGTTCCTTATGTTGGCCACCTCTGTATGTTGATCACTTTGTTACAGTTCCTTGTGTGGTCATCTTGCAGAGGTTCTATTGTCTCTCTCTACCTATCCATCACACTTCCACCCACCCACAGGTCTATCCATCCACCCACCCATTTATCCATCTGTCCATCCACCCGTCCATCCACATGGTCATCTATCCATCCACCCATCCATCCAGGTGGTCATCCATCCACATGGTCATCCATCCATCTATCCTTTCCACCCATCCATCCATCTCTCTCCACCTAACCACCATCTACTATGTACTGCTCTGTAATCTGAAGATTATAGTCTAAACTCCTCAGCAAATCATTAAAGATCATTCATACCTTTGACCCCAATCTACATTTCTTTTTTTTTTTTTTTTGGCGAGGGCTAGGTTTGAACCCCCCCACCTCCGGCATATGGGACCAGCGCCGTACTCCTTTGAGCCACAGGCACCACCCCTCCAATCTACATTCCCAAACTTCTTGTCCACTATTCCCCAAAATATACCCATAGAAAATTGATTGCGATTTCTCAAGCATATAATACATTTTCATAATTGTAGTTCACACTGCTCTCTGTGTAAATGGCCTTTTTTTCCCAATGGCCTTTTTCTCCCACATGGCTGGGAGATTCTATGCATCTTTCAAATTCTTCATTTTAAAAGAATATGATTGTTGGGGGAAACAATATGCAAATGAATAACATTAGTGTTTAATTTTCATTATTGGGCAAATTGAGATAGATTTTATTTCATTTTTTCTAGGGACACAGCATAATAGTACTAGGCTTATGTTTAAAAAATAGAGGTCAGTCTGCAATGTTTGGAATACTGTAAAGAAAATACTACTTATGGGTTCTAATTGAAATTAGTTGTAATACTATGTATTCTATAAATTTGTTGATAGTTTGGATAGGGTAGGGGAAATGTTACCCATAAGAAATATCTTTTGAATGTTTTATCTAGTTTAACAGGTAGAAAGAGAATGACAAGAGGAGAGAAAATATAACTTTCTTAGAAAGTTTAGCAGTGCATAATAAAATATCTCTCAAATTGTATGGTGATGTGAATGCCTTGGGCCATTAGCTAATACACACAGATTACTAGGTAATCCCAGGTAGATTAAGTCAAGTTCTTTCCAGAGGAAGAGCCATCTGTATGTTTAACTATCTGTGCAGATATCATAAGGCAGAGAATGAATAAGTTGCATTGTATCCTTTTAAAAAATGAAGAATTAAAAAGTTTGCCTCAAGTGACATTGTGATTCAGTGGTAAAACTCAGAATATAACCCGAGATTTTAAAGTATATATGTATGTAGTGAATACATATATGTATATATAAAAAGTACAAGGTAGCCATGAAGTTCATGCGCAATTCTATTTTAAGTTGCACATGAACTTTACGGCCACCCTGTATGTATTTTTTTTCCTCTTTGCCCATGAGATTCCTTCTAAGGACTTCTAATTTTCATGTTTAAGGCTTCATGGATATTTAAGCATTTGATTTTCCTGTTGGTATTTTGTCCTTACTTTGGAGTGATGCTTTATTTTTGCACCTTGTCCCCAATCCCTCAATAACACCCAGGGAAAGTGAGTGTAATGTTCCTTTCCTTTCCATTATCTCACTAAAATACAAATCTGATTTTGATATTCTTCAGTTCAAAAATTTTCAGTGGAGATTATAGTCCAAACTCCTTAGCAAATCATTCAAGAGCTTTCATACCTTTGACCCCAGTCTACATTTCCAACCTTCTTGCCCACTACTCCCCAAAATATACCCGTAGAAAATCACTTGTCATTTCTCAAGCATACAGTACATTTTCATAATTGTAGTTCACATTGTTCTCTATCTAAAATGGCCTACCCCTACCCCAGAGACTCTAAGCATCTTTCAAGGCCCAGGTCAAATGTAGCACTTCTCAGAGAGGAGAAGTAACTAGGGATTAGGAACACAGACTCTAGAACTAGTCTCTCAGGATTCAGAGCTTTAGTTTTCTCCCTTGTGAAATGGGCATAGTGACAGCATCCATTCACATGGGGGTTGTGAAAACTAAAGTAGTTAATGTACTTAGTGTCTGGCTCACAGTAAGCACTACAAAGACCTCAGCTGTCACTATCTTCTACACTCCCAGAAAAATCATTCCCTACTTTCCTCTGTTCCCATAATAGTTTCCTTCCTTTTATTATCCTAGTTTTTATTCTGATTTATGTTATATTTAGTTGACTATCCATTTATTTCCCTTGCTAGATTCTGAGCTCTTTGGAAGTAGAGTTTGTTTCATATTTCTCTACTATTTCCAAGGCCTGGCACAGACTTTTATATAGTAAAACAGTTGATTTTATTTTTTGTCTTCTTCTTCTTCTTTTTTTTTTTTTTTTTTGTACAGTTGATTTTAAATGTCTTTATTGGCCATGTAGGGTGGCTCAGCATTTTGGGAGGCTGAGATGGAAGGACCACTTGAAGCCAAGAGTTCATGACCAACATAATGAGTCCTTGTCTCTAAAAAATAAATAAATGGGACAGGTGTGGTGGCTCATGCCTGTAATCCTAGCACTCTGGGAGACCAAGGCAGGTAGATTGCTTGAGCTCAGGAGTTTAAAACTAGCTTGAGCAAAAGCAAGAACCCTGTCTCTACTAAACATGGAAAAACTAGCTGGGCATTGTGGTAGGTGCCTGTAGTCCCAGCTTCTTGGGAGGCTGAGGCAGGGGGATTGCATAAGCCCAAGAGTCTGAGGTAGCTGTAAGATATTATACCATGATACTCTACCTAGGGTACAGAGTGAGATTCTGTCTCAAAATAATAATAATAAATAAATGACAATTTAAATAACATGCTCATTGTTGAATTTTGACATGTGCATATACCCATGAAATCATCATCACAATGAAGATAGTGACCATATGTGCTATAATCTGAATATTCGTGTCTTCCCAAAATTCATGTGTTGAAGCTTAATCCTCTATGCAATGGTACTAAGAGGTAGGGTCTTTGAGAGATGTTAGGCCATGAGGGTTCTATCCTCATGAATAGGATTAGTGCCCTTATAAAAATAGCCTGAGAGAGCTTGTTAGTCCCTGCCCTTCCACCCTGTGAGGACATAGTGAGAAGAAGCCATCTATGAGGAGCGGGTCCTCATTGGACATCAAATCTGCTGGTGCCTGGATCTTGGACTTTCCAGACTCCAGCACTGGAAGCAATAATTTATTTTGTTTATAAGTGATACCATCTAAGCTGTGTTGTTATAGATGCCTGAATGCACGTACTCAAACAGTATCCATCACCTCCCACATTTTTACCTGCCTGTTGTAATCTTCTCACTTTCTCCTTACCTCCCTGCTCCAGCAGTATCTGCCTTCTATCACTGGGTTAGTTTTCATTTTTATGTGAGTGGAATCATACAGCATGTCTATTTTTTGTTTGCCTTCTTTCACTCAGCATAATTATTCATAATTACATCCATGATGTGGTGTGTATCAAGAGTTCACTGCTTTTTATTGCTGAGGAGTATTTCATTACAGGAAAATGCTACAGTTTGTTTATCCATTCACCTAAAGACGGGCTTATGGGTTATTTCCCACAGTATAGTTTTTAATAATTACTTATTAAATTGAATCAGTTGTAGGATAACTTGAAAGGGAAGCTGGTATGTTCCCACAATTGCTTGTTGTGATTATCTGATTCAAAGAGAAGGTTTGAGGTTAGCAGTGGGGGTTAATTAAATGTTGGTCTTTCACTGGCACTTGGGGTGTATTTTCTGGTATTTCAGTTGATTCCCTCTCTAGCACCAAAGCCTTACATCTCCCAGCATTTGGAAGGATAGAACATGTCAGCTGTGTCCCTATCTCAGTGCTGCCTTAGTGGAAAAGGACCAGATCACCCAAGGTCACCCCTCCTCCATGGGGCACCCAAGAGGGTGTCTAACGGCCCTGTCCTCTTGCCTCAAGAAAAAGCAAATGTGAGGGAAAGTGCTCCAGCTCCAGGGCTCCCTAGAGGACCAGGATCAGCTGAGATCTTTGCTGAGACTGCATCTCAGTCCAGTTCCTCCTTTTCCACCCCATTGTTCTTCCTTCTTGTCACCGGGAACACTCACTTGCCAACTTTTGCACACACATTTCTGTCTCAGCCTTGCTTTCCCAAGGCTTCTGACCCAGGACAGAACTCAGAATAGGTTGTCATTGAGTGAGTGCATTAAAGAATGAGAGGTTTCTCCATCTGAGACGTAAACACTGCTCTCCTTGCTCTGAAGTCCAAAGAGATGTTTGATTTTTAATTTTTCCAGAGCATTGAAGAAGAGTTTAAGTTGCACTCTGGGCAGTAGTGAGGGTATCTTATTCACCCACGGGTGTGCTATTCAACTGTTTAAAAACCTTGACAAATGTCACGATAGCCCACTGGACTCAGAGATCAAAAACTG